CGCTCAGTTGTTAAGATAATCTGAAAAACCGCTTTAAAAATGTAGCATGAGCCAAGTGTTTCAAAAAGATCCATTCTACTTGTAGAAGGCTTTTTAATTCAATTTATATAACCCCAACTATTGTCTTTCTTTTATATATCAATTTTTACAGGCTTGTAAACTTTGTGATGCTTTAACAGTAGAACGTGATGCAGCACAACAAAACTTACATGAAGCGCGGAAAAAATTCTCTGAATTTCAAAATGATTTTCAACGTGAAAATAAAAGCGATCTGACTAAATCAGTATGATAACTTTTTAAACTAAGCGTGTAGACACTCTTTATTGCAGGTGCAAAATCAAAACAATGACGATATTAAGCAAACTTCTGTCTCAATTTTTTAATCTTTTACTAATTATTTGAGTGAAAGAAGTTGGTGCAAGCAGAAGATTTTAATGTCATAAAAACGAAGAATTCTTATTACAGATAGCGGAATTACAAGAAATATTACAAACTAAAGAAGAGTTATTATGCAAACTTGAAGATCGACAAAAACTTACTGAGACAGAACTTCAGAAAGTTTCTGAAGAACGACAAATATCAATACAAAATCTTGAAAAAGTTGAAAATAAATTGAGGGAGGTTGAACAAACAAAAGATAAGCTGTTAGTGGAAAAAAAACAGTTGCAAATGAAGTTGAATGATCACGAAGTATGTCAAAAAATCAAATCTCGTATTTTGTGGTTTTATTATTAACTAATTAATTATGATAACACTATAAGTTAGGGGTGGACTAGTTGACAGTTAATAATATTAATGTGCTATGAATATTCCAGAGGATAGATTCAATATTCCATAGGATAAATTCAAATTTGCAATGAACTGCTCGTAATTGAATAGTTTAAGTAAATAATTAATAAAATTTTGAATTGAAAACAATTGCTGAGGTGAAAAAATGATTATTGTTATTCAGCATGCATAATTCTTTCCATTTAAATTTGAATATTAATAATATAGTCATACTTTTGATTATTTATATGCTAATTTGTGCTTTATATCAATTTTCGGTTATGTGCAGATAGGTGTCTGTGCATTTGGAATTTCATTGTGGAAGATAAATCGATTATTTTAATAAAAATCTCACAGTTTTTTTCAGGCAAAAAACGAGCAACTTAAGCAATGTATTGAAGAAAGTAATCATCAACTAAGGAATCTGCAGATTATTCAGGAAAAGCTTAAAGAAAGTGAGGAAGCAGTAGTAGTAGGTCATAGTCGAGTTAACGAATTGGAAAGTGAAAATCGCCAGCTCAATCACCAGGTATTTCATTTCCCTCGCTTCTGTTACCAATACAAATCCTTCATAAAATTATAGCATTTACCAAGCACTGTTCAAACAAGAACCAAAATTCACTTATTCAGAGTGCTTCATTTTTGCGAATTTCTCAAGTACGCTAGCAAAAACTATGAAAAGTTCCGTTTTTCGCTCTTTTATTTTTTTTCTGTTTCTGAAGTTAGTATTTTTTTGAGTTCCAATAAATTGCTTTCTTGAAACAGTTATTAAAATAAAAGAGAAACTGTTTTAAAATTGCATCATATCTATGGCTTAAAATGTTAGACTTAATATAAATAAATTATGGTGTAATAATAGTAGACTAAAAATATTATATTTGCAGTTAGATTTGGAGCTGAAAAAAGCTGATCGTTTACGGGAAGATTTAATTGTTACAAAATCACGATACAATGATATGATTTCACGTTTACGCTCAATTTGTGTCTCAATTCAATTGAATGGTGGCAAATGCGATGTTGCAAAAGTAAATCCTGAAAATGTTGAAAATGATGATGAAGTGATTATCACCATTATTGATGATATTATCATGGAAGCTCTAGCAACTGCAAAACGTGAAGCAGATTCTCTTAGATTACAACAGCACACTCAAATTGCAGAACTTAATGACCTTCGTCAAGATATCGAACAACTGAGGTCCGTCGTCTTTATTTTTATTTTTTGATTTTGTGAATAATTTGAAATTATGCTTTCTACTAAATTTGATTGTTTGAAATGTAATGCCAGTGATAGACAACGACGTTTTTAACTTGCACAGAAATTTGTCACTTTGTCCTATAGCGCCTACGATTCTTGCTGAAGTGGAAGTAATGCCTTGTTACTAAATTATGCTATGTTGTCGTCTGCTAGCAAAATATATTCCTCACTTACAATTCCAAAAATATCTCAGAAGAAGCGGAAGAAAATTATATTACATATATAATGGTCTTAAATACGATCAAATTTGGTCTATTTTATTTTTTTTTACTGATTTTATATTAACTGTTTAATATTAGTTTCAGCATAATTAATTAATTAATTCATTTAACAAGCTTTTTAATTTTTATTTAAAAATGAATTGCATTGCAATGAAATTAATGAAATGAGGTTGGTTACTGACCAAATGACATTAATTTTGTCAATGTTTACAGTTGTAAGAAGACAAATTTGCGCTGTTTCAAACATTCAGAATATGTCTACTTTAACGAAGCAAATTTTAAAGTAGTTTTAATTATTGGCGAAGTGTTTACATTTGTAAGAAATGGACAGAAATTTGTTTGCTTTTATCTGCTCTTCAAGCTCTATTCTCCGTCTGAAGTTTAGATTGAAGCTTACACATGGTTTTCATTACTTTTTTTACTAACAAATAACAGTTGGTAAGTTTTGATCCCTAATACGATAATTATTTATTAAGCAGCTGATAAATTATGGTATCAGCTACTTAATGACTTCCTTAACTTTTCTCAACAATATCTTCCGAGCCTAGATTCATTATTTTCCTAATTGTATTGGATAGCTTGAATCTTTAATTCGACTGCAATAACTTTTTGATTTTAATGCATTTGTATTGAAACCATTTACGACTGCTAAGCATGAGTGCGAACTCTTCACGCGTTAAAACTTTATTAATTGCCATAATTTTGGAGGTAAATGGTTCAAATACGTTCATCAGAGTCATTTATCTAGTCATTAATGTCAACACCGCTGCCCTTCGTCGTCTTTCAAACCAAACTTTTTACTGTTATCGATTATTGACATATTAACGACTAATTTGACCCCTCATAACCTTTACTTCTGGTAGTAATTTATTTGATTTTCCTTATTGTAAACAAATGTTCAGTAAAAATTTCGTACAGCTTGAAATTTAAAAGCTTTCCAGAGAGCGCTCCCTTTCTCATACAGTTTGAAATTAAAGTGGTGAAAAATATCAGAAACAACATTTAGAAGCGATCATGATGACGATGATGATCATAATGATTTCCAAAGTTCAGATATCCGCAAATAGTTCAGGATTTTGAAATTTTAATTTTCTTGCTTATTAATTTCATTGTCTAGATTTTTTCCTTACCGATTTTCATAATTAAGAGTGGCATGTATTTATCCGTTGCATTACTCTCAATATTATAAAATGAAATATTTTCTATTATTTCCACTTCATTAATTTATTAATTCGTAGCATTATGTGGCAGCTATAATTACAACACATTGATTTGATTACAACGCATAGATTTGATACTTTTAATTGTTGACAGTCATAGTTATTTTTAATTAATGCGCATGACTGTCAACAATTAAAAGTACTGATAGATCAAAAAATATATATTATATATCAAAAAATGTTTACGTTACTTTTTAAGTTTTATCAAAGAACTATTTGCAAGTGATACTGTAAGTCCGAGTGCTTCACACCGTGAATTTATTCAGTGAACTGAAAATTTTGTTCATTACACTGTGTCAACTTTATTTCATGTAATCTTCTTTACGTTTATGCCATATGTTTGTGTCACAAAATACTCACTAAATACATTTTCATCAATTTTGCAAATCTTGCGTATCTTACAGATGCTATTTGTTGTAGGAGATCAAAAAGTAATTTGAGTGAAGATGATGATCGTTTACGTGAATTAACCACGGAAAATACAAATATCAAAGAGCAGGTGAAAAAATGAAAAACAGTTTTATAATATCCAGTTTTCGAAGTTTTTTTTGACGGTGCTTCAAATTGATTATAATAATCAGTTTTATGAAATCTTATTAAGCATTCAAATATAAATGATGCTTATTACAACTTGAGAATGTCTGAAGATAACTTTTTTGTGCTTTCAAGTAAAATTGTCAACAGTGCTAGAAAGTATTCTTGTTGAGGTATTTCTTTTGCAAGAACGTATTCGAGAAATGCAACAAGAAAATTCATCAAAATGTGGTGAAGTTGCATCGTTGAAAAGAGAACTGGAGAAGCTACAACAAAGTGCAGTAAGTTTATAACGTTTATTAATAATATTTTGTAGAATTACGGAATTTACTTTTTTTTTGCATTTTGGCCATAAATTTTTAATTACTAAATTAAAATGCGTCATTCACTTCATTTATTATGTCTTCTTTTCCATTTTTTGATGCATAAGAATATTCCTATTTTAAAACAACTAATAGTTTCTCAAGATTTTAGTGTCAGGAAAATAGATGATACTAATGGTACTGAGATAAATTATAAAAAGTAATGAAAATGAATAATTAGGACAAAATTCTTTACTTAAAATTAATAGAAATTTGAGTTTAAAATACCAGAAATTTCAGGCTAATCGCAATAAATTACAAACGGAATTTGCAAAACTTCAAATTTTAGCGCGAAACCTGCAACATCAAGTTTGTCATTGAGATATAATTAGTAACACACATCTGAAGATGATTTTTGACAATATATTTGGAATTAGTAAAATTGTTAGTGAACAAATAAGTATAATGTTCACATTCATTTGTAGTTCAATTTTAACGCACTTGCAGGAAGAACTACTTAGACAAGACAATACAGAAATGCAAAAACAGCTCAGAATTTACGAAAAGGAAAAATTAGCAATAGAGCAAGATTTTGTATATTTTATACTTTTGTTGAAAATTTTTTCTGCAATCAAAGTTTTGTTTTGACCTTTTATGTCAATACTTTGTAATCCTTTTTTTTGCTAGTGTGAAACAAAGTAGGATTTGATTAAAAATTGTCTAAAATGCATCTTTTGATATAAAATAAACGTTTAGACATTTGTAGAAATCACTTCAATCGATGCATGATTCTCTTCTGATGGATTACGATCGAATTCAAGCAATGCATGATCTGCTCAATGCTGATTACGAACGTGCAAAATGTGATAATGACCAGCTAAAAATTAGACTAAAGAATCAAAAAGTATGATTTACAATGGGTTTCTGTGAAGTTTTTTCACAAGAACATTCTCTAAAGTCTCTTAAAACCTTTGAATGTTTTTTATTTCATGGATGAATAATAATTTTTAAGAATTTTTAAGACAAATTTTGCCGCTGTGAAAAGAAATTCAGAAGGATAAGCACTCAAAAAAAATTTTTGAGAAAATATATTTTAAACAGCATGATGTTATAAGACACTAAAAAACAAATATTGCTGTGAATCAATTTTAAGATTTTGAGGAAGAATTTTTATTGACAAATCTTAATAATAATAAAAATATCATTTCTGATATATTATGAGAAATCATTTTCTAATTAGTAGTAGATGTAAGTTTTTCTTGGCTCAAATAAATAACATGTTTGAGGAATTATAATTTGCAGGAAGCAACAGATGGAATAATGAACGAGCTAAAAGAATTGAAGGGAAAATTTGTAGACGAACGTGCAAGATGTGATCATGAAGTTGAAATTCTTCGTCAAGACTTGACAGCACTTCGTAACGAGCATGACAGAGTGAAGTAATTAATTAAGCGTGTCAGCAGTTTACTAAATCATCTGTATCATTTTTAAAATTTAGGTAGTAATTAATCTGAGAGAAAGTTGGAATCTGAGCTATTACACTGAATTCATATGGAAAAAAAGTTGTTCATTTAAAATCAAATTCCAGAGAAGAAAGTTTTTCTCGCACGCAAGATGCTGAATGTAATGCTCAGAGCTTGCGAGAATTTCAACTTGCAGAACAAGAACAACGTGCGTTTAACACACATTTGACGTTAAAAATTGAAGATTTGCAACGAAATTTAGAAGCTCGAGACCTGGAGATCGCTGAATTACGTCAACAAATCAAAGTATGTTTCTGGAAATGAGCAAATTTTTGTTTATTGCTTGAATAATTCAAATAATTTTGATAATTTGAAGCGAATAGGATACTTTCAAGAGATTCTATTATCTTTCTAAAAATTTCTTGATTAACTGGAGTTCTATTTTTCAGCATATTGATAACACTTTTAATTTTTTCTTTTGCACTACTTTTTCAGATGCTTACGCATGTAAATAGTAATTTGGAAAATAAAAATCGAATTTTACACCGAAAGATGGAGCATTTATTAACACCAAGTCCAGATTTTATCCGCAAAATAACAAATAGTTACGATAACGACTTACATGATCAAATAGATATGCAAGTAACACCTAAATTTTTACAAATTTGTCAAAATTTGTGATGGAAGCATATTTTTAGGGCCTTTAATATTTCTAAATAACAAAATTGGATATAAGTACTGTAAAAGTCTTTTATTCTTCTTTAATTCATTTACGTTTCTAATGACTGGCAATGATAGTTTAACTCGATGAGATTTTGAAAACTGTAGTAGTTTGATAGTCGTCTCATTTCCTTTCTTACTTTTTATTCCTTTTTTGATTTATTGTCCGTAAGAATATCGCAAGCGTCCAGTAAATTTGGAATCCTTGTAGTGATGCACTGAATTTTTTCCTCTTCAGGCGAAAAAAGTTGTTTTTAAGGGAAAAATATCGCTTTCGAACAATCATTCTAAGAAATTCGACGCAGAAAAAGTTTCAGTCAAAGAAATACCGCAAACATTTGTGAAACGAACCGCTTCTAAATCGTATATTTCTCAGGTGCGAATACACTTTTGTGAGAAAAATATCATTTTGGATTACTCACTGCTTTACTATTTTTTTCAACGAGTTTTTTGGCGCTGTGATGCAATTTCAAAAATCTGTTATAAAAATTACTTGAATATTTTATTAGTAAAAATGTTATTAACAAATTTCGATGGTATGGAAAATGTTTTTGTCTTTAGTGCAAAAGCTCTAAACGTTTAACACAGTTCAGAAAACAGATAAAATTTTTGAAATGATCGCATTGGGGGTTTAAATTTGAAAGAATTTTGAAAGCAAATAGAGCTACAAAAGAAGAGAAATACGTGACTAAAAACGGCATGGATTCTTATTTGTTCTAAGTGTTTTCCAGTTTTTGATAAAATTCAAGAAAATTGTGCAAGGCACTAAAATATTGTGCATAATGAGCTTATCGCATTATTTCAAGTTTTTAAAAATTTTATTAGTTGAAAGCAAGTTGAATACCTGTAACGCATATTTCTTCTACATATAAATCTCTATTAATGTTTATATGTAGTCTTTTTTATCATCTTCATAAACTAATTCTATGAATAAAATACAAACTAATTAATTTATTAAAAATTAGTCTCAAAATTTCAGAATTTTGAGTTTGAAACCTTCAGGTATAAATTTTTTACTAGTTGAGGGAATAAGGCTGGATTTATATAAACAAATTAAATAAACAAATTTATATAAACAAATTAAAGTCTATAAAAAAACCAAATCCTTTAATTTATTCTATTTTGAAAATTTGACTAGTCTGCATGATAAAAATAATAACAATGATAAATAATGATTTTCACGCTGTTTCAGAATGACGTATCACGTGATTCGTTAGCAAAATTTGTCGCAAACGGTACCACATGTTCTGACACCAAATTATCCAGCGGTATCAATGGGTTTTCCGTGTTAGGCAATGAAAGCGCTGCTTATTCGGCGGAAGGAGCACCGGTGACTGCACGGAATTCGCCTTTCTCAAATGGTCAGTTTTCAAAGGAACACAAAAGATTTAATATTCATAAAAATAGCTTCAATGATAGCAATATTTCGAGCAAGCAAACCCCGAGAACTAAAATTTCGCCAAAACAAAGTGGAAGTTCTAATTTGGGCGATCACTTTTTCCCCTCAGTTTATGAGCCAAAAGTCAAATTCCCACTTCAAATTTGTACACCGATAAATAGCACTAAATTAAATCTGTTGTCCAGCTGTGATGCTACATTAGAGAATAGACCAAGTAGTTATTACGATAATCTTAGCTAGAAATATTTGAGTTCTTCAGTCACTTTCTGAAAATAATGATTGCGAATGCTTAAAATGAATTATCCTTTTATTCATCACAAATATTTTTGATTTTTGATAACATTATTTTGCAAATCATCATTCACCACTGTTATTATTGTTGTCATTATTATCATTAATTCTTGTTGTTTAGAATAAAATGCAGTTAAAAAGAGCTCAAACTCTTTTTTGAGAAAAAATTATTGAAAATCAGGAACTTTTGAATTTAAAACTCCCTTTCTAAAAAATTATTATTGAGGAGAAAAAAATTTTGTGTAACAAAATATGATGATTTCATATGATTTTAAGGACACAAAATAAGTTTTGCGTACTTTAAACGTATGAAATCATCACAGTTTGATTAATTTCTTTGTTTACATTTCAGAAGCGGAAAGTGTGAAGCAATAATGCTTTAAAATGACTTCTATAGATTATAAGCAAACTTGTAAACAGATGAAATCTTTTCTTGCACTCAAGCGTATTTGATAGAATGACACTATCGTCTAATGATAATAGAATTGCTTTGTTTTTAATCATTTTTTAGACGAATGTTCGAAATTGTAACGATTTGAAATTTGAAGTGGAAAGTGTGAAGTAGCAATAAGTGAAAGATTTTGCTTGTAAATTCAAAAGTTCGAGTAATGCTATGCTTATTTGTTGCACAGTTCTATCACTAAAATCCTTGATTAGCTTTCAGTTTGTTTGCATGCAAAAATTTTTTACTGATTAATTACGCAAACAGGCAAATATACTGTCAGAAAATGCTTGATGCAAGCACTATAGCAGCAATAAACTTTTACTTATAACAAATTATCAACTGACAACATCAGTTATAAATATGGTAAAGAAGATAAAGTCAATTGGCAAAGAAGTCTAAAATATTTCAATAAACTCTCGAAAATTATTGATTTGTGATGACATGAGATAAGACTCGACTTTGTGGTGTATGTCATATTGTATAAAAAATTTTGCAAATGTTATTTTCTGGTCGCACTGCTTAATTTTTATTTATGTAGTTTTGTACAAATTGCATCGCACATTACGATTATTATTTGCTTACTCAAATTCTTGACAACATTATGGTTTGTAATTAAAATTTCATGTGTTTTGGTTGCAAATGTCTGCAACATCTTAGCTTTATTTCAAATTTGTGTTTAAATTACAATGCTCCGAACACAATCAGAAGCCACTGATTAATTCAAATTTTTATAGATATTTAAAAAGAGCAGAGAATGAAATAAAGTCAAGCAAAAATGAATATTTAGAAAGAGCATAGATAGGATTTATATCGCAAAGTGCGTGGTCTGCCATTATTTCTTGCTCATTTTCAATTATAAAACATTAATTGTACATATATGAAACTTTTTTTATTTTTCAATCGCAAAATAAAGCAATATTTGAGCGCATACGTTTGTCTTGACGATACTTATTTCACGTATTTGTTATTATTCACGTTATTTTTTTCATCCTTAATCATAATTAACGTTGCTTCTAGTTTTATCAAAAGGTATGAATGTATAGCTAACACTGAAACTTTTATTCTTCAGAGCATACAATTTTTCGTAAAGATACAATTATTGAATATTAGATTGAAGCATCAAAAGAATGATTATAGCAGGCTCATTAATATTAAATACATTTTAGATAAGATTTTATTTAAGAACCGCATTACTACATCTTTCCTGAAGAATAATCCAGTTCTAAATTCTATATGTTTTGAAAATGAATTATTCTCAAGACGTTTTTAACATCTGATTTCCCAGCATTACAACTTTAATGTCGGATGACTTCAGGTTTTCAGTCTGCACCAGATGTTCAACCAAGTAGTTCATCAGACGAGTTAAACTCCATTAGTAGCAGTTATATATCACGACACAGTAATGTTGAAAGTAAGAATCTCTTGAATATGATTACTTTTTTGCATGCTCAATTCTGGTCTGTTCATTAAGAGTTGAAGCATACAGCTCATTATTGAAACAAGTGAATTAAAATCGTTTTCATAGAAATATGGTTATGAACAGTTTTTCCACATCACATCTGATTAATTTCAGAATTCCGTAGGCATTCAGGCCCCAGCAGCAATTCTTCACGAGCGTTCTTGAGGAACGTTGTTTGTGCCGAATACTCATCCATACGACGACGTGCAGTTTCTGTTAGCAAGCATTCTGCTGATGAGTCTGTCAGTTTAAATGGTACTGCAAAATTGTATTCAAAGTTTTATATTTTTGAAATCATTAAATAATTTTTCGAAGATACAACTTTCGTTAAATTTGCAGGTTCGGAACGTGGAGTAGACGTACCTCCGCCAAATCAGTCTCGGCCTTTACGTTCTTGCTCTCAAGAAAGCACAAATTTACTCTGTCGAGCTTTAAGCAGTAGACCACCTCCTCCTGCATATCAACCGAAAACTTCTACAAAACAATTTGACATAAATACTCAACCATCACAGTCATCTTGTCAAACACAGCTTGCTGTGAGGACTTCTTCTTAGAAGCTTTCGTGTATAGTCAAAAAACCGAAAAGAAATGTTACCATTAGGTTAAACTGCATAATATTGGTCACTGATATATTTCCTGTTACTTTATTTATTAGAATTGCAGACCTCTGTAGGAAGACTTTCACAGAATGAAGTGCCAGCGAGTAAACAACAGTTAGCTGTTGATGAAGTTGTGTCATCCGTAAATGACATTTCTGCAGTGAAAAGAACACAACGTTTGATTCACGACCGGAAAGAAAAAGCAGTTAGTATTTACGAAAATGTTAATCAGGAACAATCAGGCAATAATTTGGAGAGCAACACTGTGTGGTATGAATATGGCTGTGTGTAATTTGTCTAGCATTATTAAGTACGAATTTAAATTTTTTTCAAAAAATTCGTAAGAAGAACATTTTTTGGATTACTTCAAATTACACTCCATTCTTACCAAAAGTTGAAAGATAACCTGATATTCTTGTTGTTAAGTCAGGACCAAAATCAAAATTCAGCTTATTTTAGGCATTGTTTTAACAAGTTTTTTAGAACACACTGTAAATTCACATTGTTCTGGTCATTTTCTATTTTTGCATATTCAAATTTTTGGTGCAGCCGTATATCGTTAGCTTTTTGGACCTCACATGATTTAAAATATTCTTTGTATAATTTTCTCAATATCTAATTGTGGTGAATAATGTATAGTACAAGTAATATAAATAAAAGGTCTGAATGTAATTTTAAAATTCTTACAAATTCACTTCATAGCTTTTAATTCTGCGACATAATTTTAAAATTTGTTAATTACATTTACCTATTTTATTTCAGAAAATTTTGTGCTTACTAGATGAATCCAGCAGAGTTTTTGAATTTTGTTCTTGATTGATTCTCAGTTTGACTAGCACTGAACAAAGCACAAGAGTTACACCACTGAACAAACTGCTGTTATGTTTGCAGGGTGAAGTATGATTGCTTCATGAGAAGTCTCTCTGAACCTCCATAGATTCTTCAATGTCTTTCATTTTGTTTAAGTATGTAGGTAATAAATATGAAACTCTCTGATGTAAATAAAGTTTTACTACTTTAATTTTGATTTGTTGCATAGTAAAACAAAGGGGAAATAACTTAGTCATAACTAATTCAAGTCATTAATTGCGCACAATTAATTTAAGTTCGTTTTCGGGAAAATATTTATTAAAATACTAATGGATCTAAAATTGTGTGCATGACATAGTTGTGATATTTCTCTTCATTTTTTGATTTATTAAAAAATACACGGAAAGTTCTTAGTTTAAAATTACTCTAACCAGATTCAGCTATACTGCAGCTCATATACTTTCAATGCAATATTACAGACAGCGAACTGTCTGTGTCAAACCCATAAATTATACTGTTTGGACAGGAAAATTCAGATTGTACTTAATGATTTTCAGCAATAAAATATTCGACAAATAAATGCCACTTTATGTAAATTTTTGAATAATAGCGTTTTCCATATATGTTGATTAACTGATGGAAATAATCCATTTAAGGTATGAAATCGTCGGATTATTTTATGAAATCAGGGCATAAATCAATGAATTGTGTGAAAGAAGGCAAAAAATGAAAGCCAAATTAATGGTTTTTTGAAAAAATTTCAGTTACTTAATTATTATAAAGGCTGAAAATTACAGATAAGCAAGCAATAAAATGCGCTTCGACTCATGAGGTAGTAGATAGTACCAAATTTTAGGCATCGTATACAAAAACTTTTAAATGCTCCGTACTGTACCATTCTTCTCGCTGTACCAAAATTTGATTTTGCAAAATGCAAGCCAAAAATACACAGAACAATTGAATTAGTAAAAAAATGGTCACTCCAGGAACAATATATAGAGCATTGTTGATCAGAAATTGTTTCAGCATTTCTATACAACCTTGATTGTAAATATTATCTCTCACATAAGGACCTCTGGCGCCGATTTCTGCGTCAATTGGTCGTATTCGCGCACCAAGACCACAATAAAGATTGCGGAGTATTTCAGATTTGTCCTCCTTACAACATGAAAATGGTACCCCGCCAGCTTCGGGTGATCCATATCTGTGCAATGTTTTTGCATCGCTGAAGTCAAATGGACATTGCAAATCAAAGTATAGAGAAAAGTACGAATGAGTAGATAAATATTTGTAGTATGCATACTGACTCCCAAAGTTAAGCGAGTGGCAAAAATATTGAACCTTACTTAAGGAATGTGAAGTCAGATAAATGAACGAAGTGATTTAAATGTTCATTCTTAATAAGGTTTCGTTATTAAATTTCACGTCGTATGCTAGTCGATTGTAATGCATTGTATGTGACGGGAGATGTAGAACTCTCTGACTTTAATTTGCTTAATTTGTTCAAGAATTAAAAAAATATATCTTGCTTAAAATAGTCACTTCATAATTCTGTTTTGATTGAAAAATTCAGTATAGCTATCTCGAATAGATCAATCTAAGTGATGAGGGGCAAGACAACACACTAATTTAACACTGTAAATACATTTTATCTGAACTTTTTCAAATATGCGATAAAAACATGTTTTGAGGGACAAAAACGTACGCTTCCACTCACTTAATGATTTAAACTAAGATACAGACTATGACATTTACGTTCTAAGCCATCAAAATAAATATAGATGGATGATTACTTGACCTCATGCCTCAACACTTTTCTTTACATATCAGTGTATTATCATCTAAAACTCATTTCAGTAACATTTTGCATTGCAGTATTTAAAATACCAAATGTCAAAATCTTTTATGTAATAATTTTTAACAATTTTAGAAGAAATAAAGACGAACCTGAAATAAATATTGTCATTCCAATCATGTGGTGATCTGGACCCACAGCATTTGAGATTTATTTGAATCCAATCAACAAACAACTGCAGATCTGGATCATCTCGGTACCTAATAATGGTATCATCGATTGCTGTCTTAATTGCAGTAAACAATACTTGACCGCTAATTCCGGTTAATGCAAAGAGCAAAAAAAAAGTTAGTACGAGACAGCCAAGTACGGATGTGTAAACTGTTAAGTAGAAACAATTATCACGTAAACTTCCTGAAATCTTGTCATTTAATTTGTGCACGCAATTTCAATTCAAATTGTATTTCTCAGTCAATGAAATTGAACGAAAAAATTTTGATTATACCAATGATTATCGCTCATGCTATTATACTAGTGATAGTAAAAATAACCATAATTAATAATAATAATAACAATAATAATAATAATAATAATAATAACAATAATAATAATAACGGATATTAATTGATAACGAATTTACTGATTAAAGCCGATGGTGTGTGTGTAGTTTAAAG